GCACCTGCCCAAAAAGCAGCATAATTTATACTCTAAAGTTCTAGAGCATTTCTTGGTAATCTGCATTGAAAGTTCACTGCTGCAAAGGCAAATCAAAAAAGTGCTGATCTAGTTTGAAGTCCTCAAGCAAAGCCAGTGATCTTCGTAAAACTTATAAATCAGCAGAGACTGCCTTCAAATGTTAGTGTTTGGCCGAGCTTCTCCTCCGACTAGTGGCGTGCCGCCTTGATGTTGTCACACAAATTGCAGGGACCTACAGTCTTACGCCGACTCCGAACGGCGATTGTATTTTTATGAGAAGCTGTTTTTTATGGCAGAAATACACTCGGTTGCTTGCCATTACCTGCGTAGGGGCGACCGCTATTAGAAAAAAAAAACCTTTTTTTATGCTGAGTTAAACCGGGTTTGAACCCAGGCCCTGCAGAATGGTAGCGCGCACTGCTAACGACTAAACCACAGCGGCCGCCAAATAGAATACCAAAATATACACGTATACAGAAAATGTAAGATGTAATGTGGATTGTACATTAGGGAGGTCAAGAATGCATGTGAAAAAGTTAGGTCGGAATTTGTGCGCTCACAAAGCGTTCAGAAGTTTTCCACTTCGTAGAAATGGTATAGAATTCTTGAAAATCAAAATTTTTCAATCGAAAAACTCTGTTTCTCTTCAGGAGATTCCCAATAATTAATAATACCCGATTATTTAATTAACCATTTTTTCATAGTTGTTGTTTTTTTTTCATATAAAATACACACATGCAACACTTTGAGCGTTTTGAGCGACCTGTAAATATTTTTTGATTTCAAAAACAAACAAAAAATTGGGGTATATTTTTTCGATATAGAAAAATTTTAGGGGATTAAATTCCGACTTTACTTATTTTGGACCACCCTAATATAAATACATGAACATAAATGTAAACTTTGACTAATAAATTAGTATCGCGCATTCATAGGGTATACAAAAATGGCATACAAAACATTAAATGACAGTTTGTTTCCACTTTCTTAAGTAGTCTAATTCAAATACTAATGAACAACGGTACTTCTTGGTTAGCAGATTGAAAACCACGTGTCGTATACGTAACATAAATTTGGTCATCATCTTCAGTAATACAAACCTGGCATGTTGCGAATATTTGCATTCGCATTCGTTATGCGAATGATTCGCATAAAATGACACGAATGATTTGCGAAAGCGAATATGTACATGGCGAGAGAGTTCACTCTAATATCTATCTCACCAGGGTGCGGACAATAACCGGCTTTTAGCTTCAGGCGCTTAACGGTTGAGTAGTATATCAAGCATCATCGAGGGACCTTCAACTAGGGATGGGTAAATTCGATATTCGAAGCTTCGATATTCGAATTTTAGCTCCGAAATGGCGAATTTTTGAAATCGAACTTTGTGTTGGTAAAATTCGGATAAAATCGAATTTTTCTAGAAAAAATCTAATTTCATATTTATTTCCAAAAAAATGAACTCTTCAACTTTCTTGTTTCTGACTAAATTTGCCATCACTGTGTGTGGCACTCCATTTGTCTTGGAGATGCAAGGAAAAAATACACGTTTTTTGATCTGATGCATCGAGACAAAAAATCTGTGCCAAGAAGGAACTGTTATTATTAAATTAAAAAAATAAAATTGTAAAATTACTTTTTTTTGTTGATTTTTTATTTTAGATTTGTAGAGGCTTTTACGTTTGTATTAGCACGAAGCTTTTGCCTGAGAAGACCCCTAGTAAAATTTTCTGGAGAGTAATTTTCTAGAGTACACCAGTCCCCTAACGACTTCCAAATTTGCTTTTTGCGGGATTTATTGAAGTAAGGATCAAACTTACCCTTTTAGGCGCGAGCTAATAGGTTAAAATGTTCTACGAAAATATTTCCCATGCAATTTTATTATATATTTTATTTTTATTTTTATTATTTTTTTGAAAACTACTTAGGCCGAGACATGAAAACTTTTTAATAGGCCATGAAATAAAAAGACGAGCTAACTTTCGCAAATCCACCGAGTGTTTTACTACTGGATGGGTGTACTTTCAGAAAATGTTAACAAAGTCCGGGCTGGTTTGGGCTGTCCTACAGTGTAATTCAGTGGCGTAGCCAGGGGGGCGCGCGGGATTTGGGGGGGATAGAGCCCCCCTTCGTCAGTGAAATTAAACTTTTTATTTTTGAATTAATAACACAATACTATTTTACCCTTCCGATTTATAATTTTTTTATTTCAGACTGCCCACAGTGTTGGGATACTTTTCGACTGTAAATTGTATCGAATTTTTAATTTACTCATATATTTTCTAAGTGCATGCATACATAGATTCCCTTCAAAACCAATGATTTGATGGTATTCACGGGAAAGTTTATGTAGGTACATTTACATATTTTACACTTTTAACATAAATGTCAGATATTTTAAGATACACTTCTTACCAAACAAATTTTTTTTAAGTTATTATGAATGGATAAAAGAGACATCTTCTTTGAATTCAGTACTAAAACTTGACATTTCAAGTGCTTATCAAAACTTTATACATGATACATACATAGATTCGCCATTTATCTTAAAATTGTATAATTTTTATTATTTGTTTATAAAATTGCAGTTTACACTTTAACAAAACCCATATAAATCCAAAGTTTAATCTTTGCGCAACATTAAAAAAAATCAACAAACTTTCGTAAAGCTTTTTAATTGGATTTCCTAGAAATACATATTTTGAGTAAGCAGTTTTGCAGCCCGATCAATACAAAAAAAAAACGCAAGTTTAAAATACATAGCTGCGACTTATCGTTGATTTTTAATATTTTTTTTTTTTTCTTTTGATGAAGGCGTTGCTCATTTTCTTCATTAAAAAATCGTCGAACACACTTAGATAATATGGAAGGAAATTACCGACATCGTCAAAAACATGCCATACATCAACTGTAAATCATAGCTATTTTAAATTTGTACTTTATTAGACTAAAATTGAATGAGGTAAAAAACTGCAAAATATTAAGAGATAAAATTGAAATAGAAAGTTCGAAATTTTTACGAAAACTTGTCGATTTTTTTTAATGTTGTTCAAAGATTAAACTTATTTTCATTTAGTGTTTGTTAAGGAATAAAATATATATTTTTATAAACAAATAATTCAAATTAAAATATAATAAAATAAATAGTCAAATCGAGTCAATATAATAATAATAGTATCGTAAAGTTATGATATTTAAGAACATCTCTTTCTTAATTAACGACGGCACTGTTTCTATACGAAGCTGATTTCAACATTTTCTTTTAATAAAATTTAGTATCGAAAATATTCTTTCAAAACTTGCCTAGGAATTTGATATAATAATGGTTCGTTCAAAACCTTTTTTCAAAACTTATAAAGGCATAAACGAGAAGGCGAAGACAAAAAGAGAATACAAAAATTTCCCGCAGTGAATTTTCAGATTTTTAAAACGGTATAGCAATTTAAATTTTTAAATTTAAATAAAGCATGAAGACCCCATGGAATAAACGAGTAGATAAAAAAATATATAAAGGTAAAACTGGCAGATTTAAGTTATCGATGGAAATTTTTTTTCATCTCCGAACTAGATTAAGAAGTTTCACTTCAAAAAATTTTTGGAAAATTCGACAAAATTCGAACTAAATCGAATTTGCACCACCAAATTTCGAATCGAATAATCGAATGGTTGGGCAATGTTCGAAATTCGGAAAAAATCGAATTTCAACCCCCCACTACCAATCCCTACCTTCAACAAGTACTGCTAAATGTCTTTTAAGCAGGGAACGGATTTTAGGACCTATAAAAAAGGCTAAATAAAATAACGAAATAGGCCGGAAAAGGAAAAATCAAATAACGAAATAGGCAGGAAAAGGCACCAGAAATATCAAAAAAGGCAAAACAAGGCACTAAAAATACGAAAACTGAAAAATAACACTGGTATAGAGGAAAAATGTTCAACGGACGCCATTATCCAATTCCTATATAGAATTGCTCGCTGAATCTGAAAATCGAGTTAATGTTTTATTCTATGGATAAGTTTTCGAGATATTTTCGGGTGTACATGGCGTATGATTAACATTTTTGCCCGCTTATTTTTCATACAAAAAATCTTTGCGCATTTTCATATGACCGCTTATTACTTCTTTATTTATGCGTCGATTTCCTTCATTATCTACTTGATTTTTTCTTTTGTAACAGATCAGCTCATCTCGTTGAAAATCCTCTCTATTGGTGGAAAACTAAATTAAAATACGACAAATTGATATATCTGGCCCGCAAATATTTTAGCGCTCCACCCGCCAGCGTTCCAAGTGAGCAATTAATTGTTCAGTGCAGCCGGCCTTATATACGAGCCTCTAAGAAATCGCCTCGCGGGAGAAACGGCAGCAAAATTACTTTTTTCGAAATATAAAACTTTGACTACTACATAGATTAAAACACTGTATAGGTTAGCATTCGTTCAATGTTCTAATAATTTACAAAATTTTTAAGTAATAAAAACGATGTCTTAAGTCTTTTTAATGTTATTCCTAACATTCGCATTCGCATTCGCATTCGTACATTCGCGAAAATATGACATTTGCAACATCCCTATTACAAACCGATGAATGTTAGGTTACGTATACGACACGAAGTTTTCAAACTACTAACTGCAAACCAAGGAGCAGAGCTGTCCAATAGCAGCGCTATTCAGTCAATCTGTTACTTACTTATATACAATTCGGTGTATGTAGACGACGCAAGACTACATACATACATGCAAGAGTACCTGAATACTTATTATAACAAATTTGAATACAATATTTACATAGGTACATATGTATATGTAGTACATATCGACCCCTAACCGCCCCAAAAACACGTAAGCGACATTTTTTTTTAACATTTTACTTTTTTATGCAGAAATACTCACTTACCCTTTTTGGCGGTTAGGATTCGATATTTTATTGTAATTATGCAATCAACTTTAATGGTAAAATGTTTATTTACTTTTTTCAGTTTTGATGCCGGCTAAATCTATGCATGCACGAACCTGCATACAACACCAAACTCTAATAAATATTGGTGAATTGGTCAACGCTCGCTAAGATTACTTTGGAGGGGAGCGCATACGAAAATAATGAGCAACAAAAAAATTGGCGCTGAAGTGAACATCTGGTAGAACGATAAAAAAAAGCCAACTGGCAAAGGGACGGAGTATAGGACTGGCTCATTATCAGCTGTTGTAAAGTGCGAGCACACACTTGTCCGACACCGACTGCGACTGCGACAATATCACGGCTGCTTACCGTTAACGTGAAGCGATTATTGCAAAATTCCAAATCGGCTGCTAACTTTTCACTTTTCTCGTATGGCAGCTGCAAGTGTGACTACCCACATTGCCGCCATTACTGCTTCGCCTCCAGCTGTTGTAGGAGTGTCAATGGATGGAGTAGTAGATGTAGCAAGTACGGCGGAATCAACAACAACTACCAATGTCAGTCGCAAGAGCATGCTGAATCAGGAATCTGCGGCCACTGCTATTACCACATTTCTCATCAGCAGCACTAACGCCGGACACGTGGATGAAGAAGATAGTTTCACGACATTGACTTCGGTTTCGCCTGGCTTCGTAGGGACCAGTTCCTCCGCGGCTTCTTCTGCTATGATGCCGGAGTTAGGAACACACACCCATTCTCGTAGGTTACCATTGCCACTTGTTGCAACGGTGACGGCATCTTCTAAATATGATGATAACTTGGAAATCGGTGGAGAGATGATTGCCAGCGCCACAATGGCGGCGGTTAGGCTTGTCGATAATAGTACACAGACTGACGCATTGAGTGACGAAGAACAGCTCTTGACAGCAGGCAACACTGAGCTGGGGACGGATGTATATGGGGAGAGTGAACATGCGTACCATGCGTTGGCAGCGCTGGCTTCAAATAATGACAGTGAAGACTATGGATTGATGGAATTTCACGAAGCGGACGAAAACAAGGAAATGGCTATAACAAACAGCGTAAAGGAGTTTGCTGACGAGGCGATCGGGAATGCAAATGAAAGTCAGTTGTTCTATGGAGAATTAAACGTTTTCGATATGAACCGCGATTGTAATGAATGTAATGAGTTTTCCAGATTCGTGGGCGATAAAAATTCCGCAAAATCAAATAGTCTAAGCCAGTGCGACAACTGTCTGCAGCAAACACTGAATGCGATAAATGATGGTGGTGGTCATGCAGATGAGCCATCGCCAGTAACTGGCAGCGCTCTGGCTAATGAACATTCAGTCAATCAAAACCAATCGTTCGAATCGCAAAGTAGTAATATTTTGGACGATTTAGAACCAGCTGATTGTACTTGCAATGCATCGAGCCATTTTGGTTGTGGTTGCGATGAAACAGCTGCCAATTGTACCTATCAGGAGCGCATTATCGACTATGATAATTTTCGAATTATCGAACATGTTATCGATTGTTCCCATGACAGCTACTGCAAGCACAGCAGAAAAATGCATTGCACAGGCTCTTGGGAGGGCGCTGACGAAGACAATGTGGTGGAAGAAAATAAAGAACTGAATTTCGCGTGCCGAGAGTTGGTGACATTTATCGGCGAGAGTTATCAGATAATGAAGGCACAAGAACAAACGGAAAACATAGCTGCAACGACACCCCACTCCCCGCTGGAATCAACTCGGCCCGTTAAAGATATTGCGGAAGAAGATACATATTGTGAGGAAAATATGAATATTGGCCATTTCATTGTTGGTCCACAAATCGAAAGTCCGTTCATGGCCGAGATTGTCGATGATAACAATAATAAAGGCCGCACCAAAGCCTCCCAAGCTCTGAGTGGATCGAGCGATACTATTCCATCGGGAGTTAACAAGTCAATATCAGCAACTATTACAGCTTCTTGTTCGGTTTCAAATCCAATGCAGTCCATTAAGAAAACAGAACACCGGTTACCCAAAAAAGAACTACCTATTGCAAAAGTACAGCTCCCAACACCATCCGTTACGTTGGCTTTGAAGGCGCTCAAATCGAAATTGACGCCACTAGCCCCATCGTTTCATCCGGCACGGAAAAAGCAGACAACCACCTCTTCCACAACTGCAGCTGCGTCCTCCCTGTTCGCTCATGAAAAGACAGCAATCTACTATCAACCACAGCCACCAAAGCAGCAGCAGCAGCATTATCTGCAACAGACCACCACTACCACTATGCTGCATAGGATGAGTCTCCATCACCATTCACAGGCGCAACAGGAACAGCAGCCACAGCCGCAGCCGCAGCAACACCAGCAGCCCCAAGTGTCTGCCATGGCTCAACAGAGTTACTCCAAAAATTCCTTTCAACAGCAGCCGCCGCAGCCACTGTTGCCAAATCTACAACCATCACACAACTTTGTGACGTCATCTATAGAGCATCAGCATAATTGCACACAGCATGCCAACTCATTGGGCGGTGTGCCACACATTCATTTGCATAGTGTTGTGCCAGGCTCAGCTGCACTAGCTAGCAGCGCATTGCACGTAGCGGTTGGCAACACACCGCAAGCACCGCATCCAAGCATCTATCCAGTGCAGGTGATTTCGCTGACTGCCGCAGCGGCCGAAACACCAAGCAAAGGCAGCAGCAACAGTACTGTTTCCAACGTACAACGGGAATCGAGCCCTGCTTCCACGGTTGTGGCTGCAGTGGGTGACAGCAGCGCCACCTGGCCATTTATGGATGCAGCTCCCGTGTTCATCGATGCCAGCGGTGAACTTCGAACTTTTTGCCCGACGCATGGTCCGCCGGCCCTCAATACTGGGGCAATTACGGCAGCGACCAATTCAAATGGGATGACATTCAATCAGTCGATAGCGATAAATGTCGCACATGGCAACATTTCTTCACAGCTGCCACATATGCAACACTACCAACAAACGATGCAGCGCCAGACACAAGCACAGGCACAGCCACAGCCGCAGCTGCCACCACAATCGCTAGCAACAACTTCTGGCGCAACGCCTGCTGCGATCATGGCTACCAATGCCATCCCAAGTGTATCATCGATCAATGCAACAAATCGAGCTTTTTTGCAGCAACATCAACAACAACAACAGACACCAATAAAAAGTCTTAATCAAACTCAAAATCAAAATCAAAGCCAAAACCATCTCCACCATCAGCAGCAGCACATTCAGCATAATCAGCTGCAGGCACACTATCATCAGCAGCAACAACATCAGCTGCAACAACAACAATTGGAGTCGGTCAGCGCACTGCAAATTTCTGGCAAAGCCAAACTTTATCGAGGTGAGTGAACGCTTTATTGTTTGCTTAGGCACTTCTATGTACTCTCCATACTCCATACATTGTCACGCATTTTCGGCATGAATAATTCCCTTACCCATACATACATATGTATGTGCATTAGGGTGGTCCATCAACAAAATCAAATTAACGATTTTTCAGTCTCACCCCCTTCGGTAGGTAATACCACGGTCGCAGATATCATCTATACATTTTGCTGCCGATTGGAGTCGGTTAAGACGTTTTCATAGGGTAATCTGAATTTTGACCCCCGTGCGACACGCCTTAACCGACTTCAATCGGGACCAAAATTGTTCTTTGACTACAGTAGTAGCATACACGTTGGGGCTTAGGAAATCGAATGTAAAAAATTACTTGCTACATCATTTAAGGACCACCCTAATCCACATAAATATGTATATGTAAATGTATGACTCGCGGTAGCCAGGAATCAGGAATTTGGAGCTGACCACTCTTCGCTGACTACGGCCGTTTGCGAAAACGGGCTTTTAAGTTCTTAACCAATGCCTTGCCTTACGCCTTTTATATGCAGCTTTATTGTGACAAACTTTGTGTTGCGTCGTCCGCTGAGCCAGGTCAATGTGACTATCAAACCGAAAACGAATCCAAACGTAAATCATTGAAAGTAGATGAACGCTTACATACATACATACATATGTACATATGCATGCGGAAATCCTTTTATTTACTTGCATTATTGTATGTATGTATATACATACATACTTACATAAGTATTTTATAATAAATACTACAAAAATACCGAAAGCAATGGAATGAAAAGCTCCGCCATTCGTAAATTCGGTCCAACATAAAAACGAAATTTTTACATACTACATACATACATACGTTCGTATATCTGTACTTATGTATGTACATACGCATGCAGCAATTCAGACTCACCCTAGGTTAGCCCTCAGATAGTCCCTATTGTTACCAGCACTAGTCCCTCATAATTGCCCTGCCAATGGTTTCAACTGCCATTTTTAGCATTCGGTCCAATCAACACTGACCGTAAGATAGTCCTGGACTAGTTCAATTTCGTAGATTTTTTTCGTTGGAGTAAGATTGCGTTCTGCACTTCGCAGATGCTTTTTCATAATTAGGAAACACATAAAATAATTTTATCATTTTATAACCATGTGGCATTTGAACCCGGACCCTCCTGAAAGCTAACAAATAGTGGCAAACTGCTTCAGCCACGCATGTACATAAATGTGTGTTCAAATGTTCACTTTGTATCAAGGCCAGACCAAGGGATTGGGACATTTACAGGGTGGTGTTCTTTAAATTTTTGTTATCGAATTGCAAGACAACACCACCCTGTCACTGCCAAACTGTACTTTTCGTCTATCTCTAGGCCGGTTCCTTGAAGACCGTTGGGGGTCGAAGGCTTACATTTTCGATGCAAGCAAATGTCCAATTCTGACCAGTCAAATTTTATCCAGTGAAGTACTAGTCCTTAAAGGAGAATTGGCCGCCTTATTGCTGCAGGGTATGCATATTGCAACTATATATAGATATGCGAGAGTATTAATATTGAGAACCATAAACTAACGGTGAGTCGCGAGGAAAACGATGTATGTATGTATGTACATATGTACGTATTGCTATTGTGGCACTGTACACCCCGCGACAAAAGATAGCACATCAACATTTTTACCAGTTTTGACTACTTTTTATATGAAATGTGAAAAAAAAAAATCAAAAGAAGAGTAGTCAAAACTAGCAAAAAAATATTGTTGGGGTGTATGTACTAAGACGACATCTAGCCCCGGGATCGCCGAGCCCTTTTGCAGTCCCGAAACTTCGGGATTAAGCCCCAAACATCCTGGGATATAATTTAATTTACAACCAAATTAAAACAGAGTGAAATTCAGGCACTGTAGAGAAATAAAAGAATTATAAAATTGCAACCCAACAAATAATCAAATAATGTCCTATTTACATAAAATAAATAAATTTATATTTCTTTGCTTAAAAACACAAATTTATTTTATTTGTAGTATTCGCACTAAAGCAAGACTACAAAACTAGTTTGTTCTTCTTCTTCTTTTTTGGCGCTGTAACCGCCTAAGCGATTTTGGCCGAGTTCAGCAAAGCACGCCAGTCGTTTCTCCTCTGTGTCAACTGACGCCAATTGGAAACGCCAAGTCCTTCTCCACCTGATCTTTTCATCGCAGTGGGGGCCTCCCCCTTCCTCTGCTACCACCAGCGGGTTCCGAGTTGAATACTTCCAGAGCTGGAGCGTCGGTGTCCATTCGAACGACATGGCCAAGCCAGCGGAGCCGCTGTATTTCAATTCGCTGCACTATGTCCATAACTAGTTTGATAGCATATTTAAATTAATGGTAATAATATCCCGGGAATTACCAATTTAAAATCTCGAAATCCGGGGATTCACAAAATGGTTAGTACGCACACTGCAGGGAAAGCTACCAGTTGTGAACTAGAATGCTACCACTTTGCTTTTCAGCCCAACTAGTTCACGTTGTAGCCTTTTTCAATGTTGGCGATTGGCATTTTTAAAATGGCGGTGTTATAGGAGATGTCAATTGTCCGCTCCTACATCAGCACGCTACCAGTAGAAATACTAGTAGCATCATACCAGTGGACGGAATAGACTGCCTATTCATCCCCCGTTAAAAGCATAAGTATGCCATTTTGCTCGCGACGCTGCAACAACAGAGCAAACTCGAGAGATCCGAGTTCGAATCTCAGACAGCGGATTTTTATTTTATTTCTATTATAATTTTTGTATGCCATATATGTATTTTTGAAATGTAATGTTTTAAAAAGAAAAAAAATGATGTCGTTAAATTTTTTTTTGTGGTGTTGGAGTATTTAGGAATTTGTGCTTAATAGCTCAGCTTTTCACTGCAGGTTAACTGATATCGTTACTAGACACGAAAAAAGACGCGAAAATAATTTAGGCGCCTTTCTTCGCTGTTGACTAGGTACCGTCGTTTAAGGTACAAAACCGCGTATCGTCATTCTGCAAAACCTCGTAACTGACATTTGCTGCCAAAAATTGGATTTGCTCACACAAGCTCTTAGCTCAAGCCTTATCCATTCGTCCTGAAATATGCTAGCCAGAAATGCGATTGCTTTATAAAAAAGAGAACAATTTTGAAATATTAGTGTTTTTACTCTCTCAAAAATAATTTATGCTACCTCACATACGCGGTTTTGCAGTTTTGATACGCTGTTTTGCATTTTGTTGATACGCGGTTTTGTACTTTAAACGACGATACATGTACATATATACAGTAGTATATATGTACATATATATGGGTACCTACCGATATGCAGACTAGTGTTGTTTTTGTCAGTCGACTTTTACTTTGATCGGTCCTTTGTCAGTTGAAGTATAATTACTTTGGTAAACCTTCAAAAAATCAAAAACATTCAATTAATTTCTTCCTTTCTATCTAGCCTTTGAAGAGGAGTCTTTCATGAGGGCCACTTCAGTTCTGCGGTCCAAAAAGTTCTTATATACCCTGTGACCGAGAGCACAAGCCAAGCTGTAGAGTTTCCGAAAAGGTGAAGCATTTCAGTTTAGACCCTACCCCCCAACAAAATACTGAAAGTTCAAGAGTGATAAAAAGTGTAAGATTCCCTGCAAAAATCGTTGGACCATGTGGGCTATGTGAAGGTAGCAAAACAGTTTGCGTATGCAATGTTGTTTGGCCCACCAACATACGAGAGCTTATTATGAGTTGCATTTGATGTTGTTGTTGTAACAGTATGGAGATTCCCCAAAGAGTTTTTGGGGAGTGTTGCTGGAGTGACCGTCCTTGGCCAGATATAAATCTGGGTCGTTCCGATTACGTCTACCCGACTGTCGTGGAATCGAGTTGCATTTGATCTTCGACTGCGATCTAAAGAGCTCATCGAACGAACGAATGGTCATTTGGTATTGTGATGCTCATTCAAAGAAGAATACCGCTATTTTGAGTTTGACTAATTTCGTTTGTTTTCATTAGTATATCCGTATCAGCTGAGATTAAAACTAAGTACGATTTGCTTTCACAGGGCAAACTGGAACTGTAGTTAGAAGTAAAAAACGATTAGGGATGCTTCGAGTCCTTTGGAAATGAATTACAGTGCGTTAGAGTAGCCCTCTGTATACAGATTTATGAAAAACGCGGTGGTTTTAATCCGGTTGAAACCTTCCATTTTATTTATTGGCGTCTACCTTTATGCAAATCCTCCTATGCTTAGTTCATCACAAAATGGTCAAAGGTAACCCAGCTTGGCACATCACTGTATGAACATGCGACGCAACCCCCACTCACGGAGCTAATTGATTGGCATTTTATGGGTTCAGATTCCTCCCAAAGCGTAGTTGTAGCGCTGTTTTGTTGGTTCACATGGGAAACTAGGAACGGTTTTCGGCTCCACTATGTGCTCGAGAAGAACGCACGTCGGCAGGGCAATCAACTATCTTTAGATTTGAGGTGCCATATTGCGGACTGAAAACCGTTTCGTTTACAGTTATATCCTGCACCGATGATTTTGTAACCGTAAAATTTTGTTACCGAACAATTTTACCACTTCTTGCTACCGCCATTCTAGGTACGTTGGTAAGGTTGTTACTATCTATATATAGCAATTCAACTATGAAGTGTTGTAGTGTATTGCATATTTCACGGATCTCTACGTTGTTACCCAAAAGGGCTGTTACCCAAAAGGGTTTAAACATTTACAGGAACCTTCTTTACCGCTTAAAAAATTGTTGGTACCAGCGAATAAGAGACCTAAGAGTTGTCTATTTATCAAGAGACATTTTATGTGTGCTGACCCATTAACCCCACCATTTTTCTGTAATTTTAGCTCAGTGTCACAACTATTTGAAGCTCCTCTGGGGCTCCTTCAAGCAAAGGTGTACATATATCACCGCCTTAGTAAAAGATTGTCGTAAGCGCCATTTTGACGATTTTTAGTTCTAGATGCAGTTATATATATCTTGAAATAAGGTCTTCCGATTGGTGTTATCAGTTTTTAGATATCTCCTTTAGTTTGCGAGATATTGACTACAACTTTTTCGAGAATT